CCGTGGAACAGCCATCGTTTAAGTGGACCAGGTGGTTTTGTGTAGTGTTTTCTTTTTATGGTTTTAGTCCTATGGAAACGGATCTTATCGTGAAGATGCCGTGCCATAACCAGCAGCTGAATAACAGTGAGAGCCCCGAACACGCCGCGAAGCACGTCCGCTTCGCCCGCAGCAGCCCTGCAGCCGAGACCTGTCAAGACGAACCGTGCGAAAACCAAACCACGAGCGACATCCAACAACAAATAGGACCTCAGCTGAAGCTCTTGCCATTAAATGACCAAATACGAGAACTTCAGACAATCATTCGGGACAAGTGAGTGTCCAGTCTGCCTTTCAACCGGATCTGCATTGCATGCACATTGCGTGTCCCATATTTAGGCCTGCTCTGTATCATATGCACACATACCACAGCATGTGTGCAAGAACATAAACCCGTAGCTTATCAGAATGTATCTAAAATGTACACGGAATAAACTGGGATATAGTCTCGTGGCATTTTGTTTCACGTAGATATATCATATATTGCAACCGTTTTTATAATAAATTGTGCGCAGACACGCAAGGAATTTGTTTTTTTTTAAGGTGCTCTTGGTACATATGTCATAAGAACGACTTTACAGTAACTAATAATAATGTGTATGAATCTGGAACATAAGATTTATGTATAGATTTGTGCATCATTTACTCTATATACAGCTGTATAAATAGAGATATGCATATGTATTTACATTGTACTTGAATTACAGACCACATGAAATAATTGGTAACACTTTACTTGAAGGGGTGTGCATAAGACTGACCCTTTCTGTTTCACTCAGAACTACCAGTAGAGGTGATTTTGTCTTCTGTGCTGATAGATTGGTAAGCATAACCAGAAATTGTGTAAATGATGGTCATTTTGTGTTAAAATGTCAACATATCACACTAATGGTTTACAACCAGGTATTATCTTTATAAAGACCTTGTAAATAAAGGCAATCAACACACATTTCAGTCAACACAGAGTAAATGTATGGTTGATTGCATTGCACTTGATTGTTTTGTATTGTGAAAATAGTAGATTGACTCATGTTCTGTATTTGGTTTTTGCTAGCTTTCAATTTGAATCAGACTGGGTTGTTTGTTTTGCTCCCAGATAAGATTAGTGGTGGAGGAGGGTCTCAATCAGCTTCCATACAGTGAATGCACTGTAACCACACCAACAGGTGAGCCTGCTACCATGGCGATTAATTCCCCCAGCTCACTGTAATCCTTTTGCATATTAATATAACATTGCCACTGTCAGCGGATGAATTTGCGCAAATGCAGTTTCCTTATTTACTCCCTATGCAGGACATAAATATGAGGGTGTGAAGTTTGAAAAGGGAAACTGTGGGGTTAGCATCATGAGGAGTGGTGAGTCCTGCTGAAATTTACAACCCTATTTAGTGTGCATGCCCTTTACACTAATACAAAACGCATATATTGTGTGAGCAGGTGAGGCCATGGAGCAAGGCCTAAGAGATTGCTGCAGATCAATCCGTATCGGGAAGATTCTGATCCAGAGCGATGAGGAGACACAAAAGGCTAAAGTTTACTATGCAAAGTTCCCTCCTGACATCAGCCGAAGGAAGGTTCTGCTCATGTACCCCATACTTAGTAAGTACTTGACTTCTGTAACATGAAATAAATGGCCCGCATAGAATCTGTTATTTTTTTTCACATTTAATGCTTTGAATTGATAGGGCGAAATCATGGCATAAAAAAAAGGAAATGAGAATGACAGGAACTGCAACTTCATCTGGGTCTACCTGTAAATACTTTAAATATGGCAATAAAAGGCACGATTCATTGTTGCGTATATGTGTTCAGGTACAGGCAACACTGTAATAGAAGCGGTGCGGGTGCTGAATGAACACGGCCTGCAGGCCAAACATATTATACTACTGAGTCTCTTCTCCACTCCACACGGTAAGACACACACACAGCGAACAGTGAGGACTTTCTCATTTCTGTATTTTCATTCATGAATAAATTATATGACATATCTGTATTATTTTACCTTCTTTGTAGGTGTTAATGTTAATAAGCTTTCTAAACATTTCTAAAACAATGTAAAATTAGCTGTAAATCTAATCCCAGTATTTGGAATATACTCACACATTTCTAAAAAAATGTTTGACATGTATAATTTATATACGCTAACATTCAAAGCTTGGGGTCGGATTTTTTCTCACCAAGGCTGCACTCGTTTACAAAAATACAGTAAAATGAGCAATATTTTGAAGTTAAAATAACCGTTTTATTTTAATATATTTTACAAAGTAATTTATTACTGTGATGGAAAAGCTGAATGTAGCAGCTCCAGTCTTCAGTGTCACAAGAAACATTTATCATTATCAGTCTTGCTAAATACAGCACTTACTTGAAATATATTTCTTTTTTGTATTATAAATGTCTTTGCTGTCACTTTAATTTTATGCGATTTAATGCAAGCTTGAAGAATAAAAGTATTAATTTCTTCTTTTATATAAAGTCTATTATTAACTAATGATGTGTACAGGTGCACGGTCCATTGTTCAGGAGTTTCCTGACATCACTATACTGACAACTGAAGTTCACGCTGTCGCTCCGACACATTTCGGCCAAAGGTATTTCGGCACAGACTGACAACCCACCAAAAGCACACGTTTACTTGGATTCAGCTGAAGCAGCTTGTGTTTTTTGTTTTGTTTTATCCATCTGATAAAGCCTGACCAGCCCACAGCAAGTGTCTCTGTGTGTGTGTGATTGGTTCATCAGGGCTGGCCTCTGTATTTTTATTGGTTGTTATTATATACAGGTGCATCTCAATAAATTAGAATGTCATGGAAAACCATCCTTAATGTGAGCAAATGTATTCTCATCTTTGAAAGACGCGTGCTTATCCATGATGCCACCAGGATTAAAACAAACTGTTCCTAAACAGTGATGCAAAACAGAAAAATACAAATAAAATATTTTGTATTAAATGAACTGTACTTGTTTACGTTTTTATAAAATTTCATACAAGACACTATTTAATAGTCTCTCGTCATAAAGCTAGAACTTATTCCCACAACAGAAAAACACCAAACTGCATTTCACCACAAAAGAATGAATTTAAAACATCACACAGCAGGGACACCTGATAAAGCTCTCTCACACCCTGATCAGTAAAAGAGAGGTTTCGGAGACCTGATCGCTCCTGCAGGAAGTGTTCCATGTGAAAACTGAGCATGCGGTCAGGTGTTCACCCTCACCCTCATCTCCCTGAGGGCCGCCCGCCACTCCTGTAAGCTTAACCTGTGATTGAGATCTTTCTGAAATCGCCCCTCGCTGTGACGTCACGTGACCCGCTCTGTCAACCTAGAAATACAAAGAACGGTTTATATTAGATAACTTAATTTCTACTACATTTGATTCCTCGAAGGCTTCTGCTTTAGAGATGTCCGTGAAAAGCAGAACAATCATTTCTCATACCTTATTTCATCACTGCTAGTCATCCACTGCTATGGTAACAGAGACCCCCTCAGGTGAGACTGATGGCAGCACAGAGAGAGACAGACAAATGGCTCAAATCAGAATCTTCGATCAGGTTGTGCAGCCCTGGTTTGGCCTCAAGGGGGCAGTATAAACTTGCAGTCTAAACCTCCTTTTTCCAAAATTAATAAATGATGTTTGTATTACAATAAAAGAACCATGTATTTTTCTCCTAGACTGCTAGTTACTTCTGAGAATTTAAAAAATGACTATTCCGAGTGCTATTTGGAGTTTGTTTTGCATCAGTAGGGGAATTTTAGAGTAAGTGTGTTCGTAATCCTACTCTTTGTGATAGCACACTTAAGTTAATGACAGAAGCAGAGAGGAGATCACCTTCAGCGACGGCGTGAGAACTGGGATAAATTCGGTCTCCTTCTAAATAAAAGATTTACCAAACTATTCTGACTACAGCAGTGACACAAAATTAGACGACTCTATAATCCGGCAAACTAGGCTCTGATTGATTAACCGGTGAACGCAATTGGATGTTGATTGACTTATGAAATATGATTCAGAATATGTGTGTCTTACCCACACTTCCTTCCATGGCACAATGTCCATTTCCATTCATCACTGAAGGACTGTGAGATGACATCTGCCATCTCAAGGGGAAAGACTGTCCATCCCCTTGACTGTGACAGACACAATAAGAAACAGTTGGTAAACATAAGATATGACATCTGTGTTTTGGCATTACGTCAAAATTAATCTCACACATCTTAAATTCTTCTGATTGCTGCCATTTGACTAAACGGGGAAATGCCAGTATTGAACAAGGAAATGCGGTATTGAAATTTATCAACACTGGCATTTCAATCTGACAACTGGAAAATGTTATGGTGGCAATACCAATATGATAAAAGACAGTAACTAGCATTTGGGGTCGGTATAATGTGTTTCATGTTTCTAAAAGATACTTCTATGCCAACCAAGGCTGCATTTATTGGATCAAAAATACAGTAAAAAAAACAACAACAACATACATTACATTTTATTTTATTTATTCCTGTGATGGCAAAGCTTAATTTCCAGCAGCCTCTACTCATCTTCAGTGTGAAATGATCCTCCAGAAATGCTGATTTGATAATTAAAAAATTGCTCACAAGAATTTCTTATCAATGTTGAAAACAGCTGTGCTGCTATACATATACTTTTTTTTTCCCATGATTTTTTTGACGAATAAAAAGCAAAACAGCATTTATTTGAAACAGAACTATTTTGTAAGAATATAAATGTCTACACTGTCGTTTTTGACCAATTTAATGTGTCCATGCTGGATAAAGGTAAAATAAATCAATCAGACTGGCCCCAAAATTGTAAACAGTAATCTACATTAATTATTATTGTCATGATTATTCATTAGAATTAGGGCTGGGTAAAAAAATATCGATATCTCGATATTAATCGATTCTCATTTTTACGGAATGATATCGATTCCTAAATCCCAAGAATCGATTAGTCTAGCGTGTTTTCAGTTAATGAACGGAACATTGATGGGCACTTCCTATCCAATATATCGGAATAAGCATTGTGCTTTGGTACTTTTAATATGAAAAAGTCTCAAATTTCAAATTCTGTCCATTGTATTGCAGTATTCAAACAATAAATGCCGTTTTGGCACGGTTTAATGTGAAGTGACAGACCGCTGTAGCGCCTCAGTTCAACAGACGCCGCAGCGCAAGGTGCACGTGAACTGATCATCTCCACATTAATACCAGTTTCAGCACAAAATAAACATGACTAAACATCCGAAGGTAAGTTAAAAGAAAGAGTACAACTTTACAATCCGTATCCTGTCTCATGTAATCGCTCAATCTGTGTTTCAGCCGCGCAAAGACGTCAATATAACGTCTTGTAAACAATGTCACGTAAAGTCACATTTACCTCAGAAAAAACAACGTTATTCGGTGACCATAAACTCATTAGTCAGATAGAAAAATAAACTGTAGAGAGGGGCATTTTGCTAAATATATGCACTAAATAACATATTCATTATAAACTTTACTGTTCTTCAATGTTTAATTTATGTTTGAATAAATCCATCAAGCTTTTATGACAGCCACCATTATGTTTATATTAAAAAAACGAATTGAAGTAGAAATGTAATTGTAACTTTATTATTTTAAAAACTTCATTAAGTGTAATTTTAACAAATCAGTCAATTTTAACCTTCAGTATTATAGTAATGTAGTAACTGACTCTCATGTATTTATAGCATTAGTTGAGAGATTTTTTTTCCTTGAGAAAATTTGGCATGTACTGTACCCTGATATATAGCCTATCCAAAATAATCGACATTGTATCGGATCGAATCGAAAGCTTGTGAATGAGAATCGAATCGTGAAATTTGTGTCAAAACCCAGCCCTAATTAGAATAAACAATTATTCTGCTAAAATGATTCGGTCAATCTTAAGTGCAAGTTGTTTATGAGTGTCAAGCAACATTAAGTTCTCAGAGTCAGAATAATGAATATTGCGTAATACTGACCTGCTGAATACTGGAAATGGCCAGAGACTCTTGCTCTTTCCAAACACCCGTAAGAAGTTTGCCCTGACACCCACATCAAATGCCTCACTTGCTGGTCCATCCACAAAAAAGGGAACTGACAACCACTCTGACAGAAAGACGGTGAGGATGTTATGACCCCTACAACACCTCATACAAAATATGTGAATATGTGAAATGCAGGTTTTACCAAGAGTAGTTTTGTTGCTGGCGAGAAGCCAGATGTGCAAGAAGAGCAAAAAACAGAGGGTGACAGCAAACATGGCCGACACCAGTGTCAGGAACAAAACATGCAGTTTAACACAACTATCAAACAGTTTGCCCTGAGAGAGAGAGCGAGAGAGAGAGAGAGAAGTGTAATTCAGGAATATTGCAGTAAGATACTGTGAAACCGAATAAATAAATAAATAATTATTCAAATAATGAGGATCATTGCATAAGTAACAATTCATTATTTTGCAAAAGATAAAACCTTATCACATTTATTTACCATCACTTCAATTGCATTTATATGTGCAGATACTTTTATCCAAAGCGACTTTGCATTGAAGCTATACATTTTATTACAATGTGTGTAAAGTTTTTCAAATATTTGATGCCAAGCGACTGTGGACGTGCCATCTGAGGCTGAGACTAGTCTCTACCATTCAAAGTGCAAGTGAATCTTGCTAAAAAATAAATTTAAAAAAGTCACCCACCAGCCACAGTTGGATGAAGGTTGGTGTAACTGTTGCGACGATAAGCAGGCAATACAGCAGTGAGTAGAGCAGGAAGAGCATGAAGAACTTATAGTTGGAGAATCCAATACAGTTATTCAGCCTAAACATGCTCACAACAACACAGCACAAACATACAAAGAAAATAATAAATGCTACTTTTTAAAAATTACTGTCATTTTGACATTTAACCAAGATATTAAGAGATATTATGTCAATGTACATAGCCATTTTACTTCCTGAATGCAAGTTAACTGAATGCCTAAATATCTATTTGACTCCAATAGCCTGCACAGTGTAAAATTAAAGATATTTAAAGGAGTATTATACTCACCATTTTACAACATTTTGGGAATTTACTCACCCTTTGACCATCCAAGATGTAAATGTGTTTGTTTCTTCATAGAAATTTAACATTACACCTGCTCACCAAAGGATCCTCTGCAGTAAATGGGTGCCGTCAGAATTAAAGTCCAAACAGCTGATAAAAACAATAATTCTCACAACTTAATCATCAATAAATGTCTTGTGAAGTGAAAAGCTGCATGTTTGTAATAAACAAATCCATCCTTAAAAACAAAAACAAATCCATCCGGTTTTTTTCTGTTAAAACAGTTGTTTTCGGGTAAAATATGATGGATTGATGGATTTTGTTTTCTTACATTTGCTTTTCACTTCACAAGATGTTAATCGACTGACCTGAGCTGTGTGGATTACGGTGATGTTTTTATAAGCTGTTTGGACTCATTCTGACGGCACCCATTCACTGCAGATGATCCATTCATGAACAAGTGATGTAATGTTAAATTTCTCCAAATCTGTTCCAATGGAGAAGCCTATATCTTGGATGGCCTGAGGATGGGTACATTTTCAGCAAATTTTAATTTTGGGGTGAACTATTCCTTTTTAAGTAAGAGTAAGTTATTATACTTAGATTAAACATTACAAAAGCCACAGATTACAAAGATTCATAAGTTGTTCACATTAAATGGAAATATGCATTTTTTAACAGCCAGTTTACAAACCATGGGCAATGATGATCCATCTTTAGTACACACCTACAGAGAAAAAAAAAAAGAAAGAGACAGACCGCAGGAGTGAAGTGCACAGGCCACAGGAACTATTCTCATTAAATAATAATAAAAACCCCAGTGTAATCAGACACACACAGACACACACACTCAAAATCTCCACAAACACACAGTCATTCTTTTTCTCCATCTCATTCACTCTCTCACACACTCAGACCTGGACTTTAATCAAAGAATGGGAACCTGATATTGACACAGAGCGAAACTCATTTGAGAAGATTCACTGTGTCCACTCAAATAAATGTGACCAAGCGCTTCAACAACATCCTGTAATTATCTCACACACTCACCCACAGATCGCATTTCTACGTCTCCCTTTCATTAAGGGAAGAGTGCGTAGATGAGTGGGAGATGCACTGATACGCACACAGAAATGGAGAGAGGGAGAGAAAGAGAAGAGAGAGAGGGCGATTCTTACATTTGGCAGACAGAACAGTGATGGCAGCGATCTGGTTTTATCAATTGGCAGTGATGACAGAACCTGATAGCTGAGATGAACACACACACACACACAAACAAGCAAATAAATAACATTTTCTCCAACATTTAGGTAAATGGAATCCCTCTTTGATAACAGACTATTATTTACGTTTTCATTCATGTTGTTCAGTGTAAAATATCTTATATTAAAAGATAGTTTTAGAGCAGTTAACAGACATTTATGATTTTCAACATTCATCCAAATGATTTAAAGTCACTATAAATTGTCTTGATTCATGGCTTCAAAACTCACAAATGGATCACTCACCAAATAAGAACAAAAAAATCAGTACAAATACACTAGGTGCTTTAGTGCTTAGAATCCAAAACTAACCAAAAATAGTCCAACTGCTTTTAAAGTCTACTGGCCACTCAGGTAAAACACTTACGTTGTTTGTAAAATAGTTATGTATCATGTACTAAAATTATTAGTTTACTCTATTAAAATTCCACCATTATCCTTATTACTGTTAGTACATGCTGATCTATCTATAAAATACATTTATTATTTGTTTGTTGTTGACACACTGGTGTTATTGAATTGATCACTTGTCAAGTCGTTTACTTTGTGTTAGAGGAAAAATATTTATTAAAAAAAAATTGGTTTGGGAGTGTTGCATTCGGTTACAAGACAGTGGCATTTAACAATTATCGTTCACTGAATTTCAGCAATAAATTACTTCAATTTTGTTTTGTTGCAGGGCTGGGTATCAATACAGATTTCCCAATTCAATCTGATTCCAATTCATTTGGGTGTACTATAGTTATAATCGGTTATAATCTCTTTTTGGGTACATATGGTAAAAATTATCTCTGCTAATGCTGAAAATGAAGGCAGTGTTTGATATCGACTCAAACGGTAACCCGTCTCTTTGAAATATTCAACAGAACAAACTCATAAGAGTCATTCGTTTCGGGAAACGGGCTACACTTATTGGACAGATGTTTTTTGATTTACTGAAAAGTACTGACCTAGAATATAATTTATTTAGCTATAGTGCTAAATATTCAGTACTGGCATCACAGATTCCCCTGTGTTACAAAGCAGTGATGCAAGGAAACCTTCTAACATGGTGCAGAAGATGCTTTTCACTGAAAGCCATTCAAAATGTACTAATTGCAGATTCAGTGTCTCTGGAGTAATCTAGAGTTCAGTGTCTTCCCTCAATTACATGGTGCTGATGGAGCAGGTTAATGTTTACAGGTTCAGTGTGAATCGAGTTACATTTGGACCGGATCCAGTTAAGTTTTGAGATGTTATTTATACTTCACATTGTTGTGTTTATTTGTTATAGTGCTGATGGGTTTCCTGACCTCCGGCTGCCGTACGTGTGTGAACTGAAAGCTTCTGGGAGATTTCCAGAAGAATCTGACTCTTCTCCATACCGCCACGCTCCTGCTCATAGAGCAGCGAGTCTGAAGAGGAGAGCTGAAACTGAACACAGACACCCGCACACACACATACAATTAGCAAATTAGATGGCGGTGCTCTGAGAGGGAGAGGGGTTTCTTTTACGCTCATTTGTCACGTATGACATGCCTGACTTGAATAACTTGCAGGTGGACCGTGGACGGCCCCCGTAAGAGCCCAAGTCTACTTATTGCTTCTGTGGAGGTGAAGCCAGCAGAAATGAGCAGTTTAAAGTGCCCCTATTGTGGATTTTTGAAAATTTCCTTTCATGCAGTGTGTAACACAGCTCTAAGTGAATGAAAACATCCTGCCAAGTTTTAAATCTGAAAGTGCACCGTGTATAAAGTTATTATCGCTCAAAAGAAAGAGTCAACTCTGAATCATTGAAACGAGTCGTTTTTAAAACGAATCCCAAGACGTTTTGTTGATGTCAAAATGAAACATTAGCATATTGCCCGCCCACTTGTTGGTCTTTTCGGGTTGGTCTGAATGAAAATGCAAATTCATTCTTTGCCACTAGGTGCTGCTTTTGGAGCGGTAAAATAGCTGTTTCCCCGGTAAAGCTGTAAACAAAGCAGCACTGCGCTCACAAACGCTGCTTTATCAGGCATCACAGGCATGATGAAAAAAGATTAAACCAATCGGACCAATCACTGCAGATTAGCGTCACGCAAAGGAGGGGTTTGGAAAAATGAATCGTTAAACGAATCGTTTGGGAGTCGTTGAGCAAGTAAGGTAAACATAAATACATATTATAAGACAATGAAAGTGTTTTTTGACCTTGCATGCATGTCAACCTGTTGTTGGGGACTCCCAAAACCAAAATATGAACCTTTCATAACCCATAATAGGGGCACTTTAAAATATCACACACTGGTCAAAACTTTGTAAATGCAATATGAACTCAACCCAGACATGAATAAAGATACATTTTACAAACCAGTAGTTATGGTAGAAAAGCTTTTCCAAACTTTGAATCAATTGAACCAGTGGCTTCGCAAAATGATTTGAACACTTCAAACACCTTAAACCACTCAAGAATGCAATATGAACTCGGCCCAAACATGAGTAAAAACACCTAACCAATTACAAATGTCTTTATGAAAGCATATTCTAAACATCATTAAATACCAAAAAATGTAAGGTTAAAAACAATTAACTTTCACTGTCCTATTTTGTTATACATGCATGTTTATTAAAATTATAAAGCTGACCCAGTTAAAACCATGTGTTAAACTCTGGTTCATGAGGTGACCAGATCACCACTCTCTAGCCATGAACTATTGGAATTCAAACAGTTTTGAAACCATATTATGTTGTTAGAAAGCCTTGTTTTTTTTGTTTTTTTTATCATGTGACTTGGCCAGTTATTTCCTCTCATGTATAGGCATAGAATGGTAGAGCCCTGCATTTCAAACTTTTTTACGCCCCTCGGGCCGGGCTTCGGGTCAATTTTCACGTCATAGTTCAAACGCGGGCCGGGCCTCGGGCCTGTTTTAGGCTTCTCCTTATTTTTTTATATTTTAGACATCCATCAATTAGTGATGAAAAAATTGCCTCACTGGTGGAAACAACAGGAGATCGTGCTACCGCGACTGTCAAGAGCGGCTCGATGGTGTTTAGTGTCCCGCAGCAGCAGTATGTATGGTGCGTGCCGTCAGCGCAGCTGAACAGTTCTGCGTTCAAATGCAAGCAATAGGCTTAAGCTTGCCGCAAAGCACCGGCAAAAGTAATTACCATAAATGTGACAGGGGGAAACAGTAAGGAGATATTTGAGTTATTTACTAATAAACTAGTGTTTTCTGAGTC